ATTGATGGAGAAAATATCAAGTACTGATTTCAGCTCAACCTTAGCTTTTGCATTTTTTAGACTTTGAGTTGAGGAATAAAAGTTCTGTGCCTGATTGAAAATGCTGTCAGCAGATTGATCATATTTCTTGGGGTGAAAAGTCTAAGTCTGGTTTGCCAAAAAAAAAAAAGCAAACCAACCTTTTGAAAGTTGATTTGCAAATATCAAGGTAACAGTAATAGTTAATGAAAAGACACTGCCAAACCAATATTACAGGTCTTGTTTCCCCCCTCCCCAGAAAAGAGGTCTCTGGGATAGTATGGGGAGTGTTTTGTTTAACGTAAACAGTGGAATAATGCTTTGAAGTTGCTTTTGTCAACACCATTCCTGAGAAAAACACAACTGAAGCAGCATCACCAGGATAAACAGGCTTAATTTGTATCTTTCCAAACTGCTTGGCATATCTATTTAGTTAACTCCTACAAAATGGTTCCTTCATAAAGCTGTGCTCTTCTGCAGAAGTGTGCACAAGTGTGCTCCTCTTCTCACTTGTAGCCTTTAGCATCTTCTGGGCTTTGATTTGATGAGCATAGGTACTGTTTTGTGTTTAAACCTTTCCTGAAGATAAACTTAGACACCAAAGTCAGTAGAAACAAGTGTGTGTTCAGTGCTGTATGCTCACCTCCATCCCCTCCCCCTCCAATCTGTGCCCTGGTCACTTTTAAAATACTTTCTACGTATTTTGCTAGCACTAGTTGAAATGAACAACAGATAATACTTTAGAAAACTTTTCTTACGTATAAGAACAGACTGGAACATGCATGTCCCGCTGTTATGAGGTGCCAGTTGTATCAGCCTGCAACAAGAGCTCTGTGCAAGTTAGAAAAGAAGCAGGTGTGGTGCATAATGCACAAGGACTAATAAAATTGGAGTGTTCTTGGGATGCTTGTTATGGAAATAGAGTTTTCTGTTAAATTTATGTAGGAACTTGGAACGCACTTCTATCAATAGCCTCTGGAGAAATTCTTACCTTAAATAGCTTTTAAGCTAGCCTGTCCTTATTAAAGATACATCAAAGAGCCAGTATACTGCTGGATGATATGAGGGGCTTAAAAATTTGCAGTGTGGGTACAGCTTGGATTCTGGATAAGAGCTAAATTAATGCAAGCTTTGTAATTATTTTCTGGAAGCACAAATCAAGAAAGATGTTGTCTGTGTTACAGGAGAGTTGCTGCAGCTGGTGCTGGCGGATGGTGTGCTTGAGTGGTCTATGTTAGAGCCTGTCGAAGAATAACAGCACTAATGCAAGCCAGTGATAGAGCTTTTATGAAATGAGTATGTCCATTATCTAAGCTAAAAGTGTTCTTCAAAACTTACATCCGTTAGTGTTTTTCACTCTATAGCTCTTACTCTGGGTAGGGTTACAGTATGAGTGAGTGTATGGATATGAAAACCACTACTAATAAATGCTTTTCATAGTCAAATGCTTCCAGTAGTTGAGCAAAAACTGGAAAGCTCAGTGCAGCGTACTGCACGGATGTGTCTTTGTAAGCTTTCAGCTGTTTTAAAGTGAAGTGCAAAATTTGAAAGAATTTAAGCAGATTCAGTGCAAGATTTTTATACATGCCGTGGTGGGGAGAAGGGTTTTTTGAACCAGTAGATTGAGGATCCGTTTCCTGGTTTGAGATGTAGTAATTGTAACATGATGATCCATCACACCACTGTGGAGAGGAATTCCTCTTTAGTTACTGGCTGCCTGTAGGTGAGGAAGAGATGACAAGTTGGGTTGGTAACCTTAACTGTTTTCACTTAGAGGTAGGATAGCCAAAAATCAGTCTATCTTCTGGTTACATTGTTACTATGCCTGTTAGGGGGGGTTTTGAAGGGTGACTGTGTAAACTGTCAGTAGAAAGCAGGAAGTTGCATGACTGAGAACTGTCCTAGCTGAAGCTGGCTTTCCAGTAAGTGTGCATTTGTCTATCAATGCTGTTTTCTGTTTGAATAGCATCTCTAATCTCCTACAGGTGGGACTCTAAGCCTTCCTAAAATGTTACACTCTGTGCTTGCTCATGTGTAAACGGCAAAGTGCTTGCCTGTTAGCCCAGAAGTAGACATGGGGAAACTGAGGTATGGGATGCTAGTCAGTGAAGGGATTTAGTATTGTTGGTCTTGTCTTTGTATATGTTCTTCAGGCTTCTTATACATGGGCTTATATTTCTTGATGGCCACCTGTGTCAGGAGGGTAAAAGCAAATGCTTTAAATCCAGCCTGGGCAGCCCAGGGCTTGCTGAGCCTGGGCTGGGCCTTGCCTTGCCTGCTGGCATGAGGCAGCACGAGCTGGATGGGCTGCAGAGGTCACTTTTTGGCCAGAAATTCAGTTTTTCCACATCTTGGAAAAAGAGCTGTGCATCCAGTCATAGTTGCTTGTAATGTGGTATTAACCTTTTGTAAGGTAGTAGAGGAATATTTTTCAACTCCAGAAGTCTGTGTCAGCTTAGATGGTTAGGTTTACCATTGGAGCTATGGGACTCCTTATTTTAAGATGATTCAAATTGGTAGAATGCCTCTTTATGCCCATTTATACTTTCCAGTATGCTGGAACAGTGCATTGCGTGGAGCTCTCTTTACCCACAAAAATTCCCTAACATCCTAGGCCAATACACAAATTTTCTTTCAAATGGAATGATGGGAAGGCATAGTTGACTGATCTCTTTGCTAAGACAGCAAGTCCAGCTTAAATGTTTTTCTTCCTCAGCCTGTGTGGGCAGTCAGATGCAACAGCCAATTTGCAGTAGGAAAGGCCAGAACTTACATAAGATGAATAAGTGGACATCTGGAAGCACTTGAGCATTATTTTGTACTTCTAATACAAATCAGTGGGACACAGGAAAGCTGAGGGATATGTTAGAAGATAAATTGTTAAAATCAGTGGAGGTAGATAACAGCTTTGGATCATGCACTGATTTGCAGAATTGTGCCTAAGTTAACGCTTCTAATTTTGAGCCGAAATGATGAGACTTGCAATTGCCAGAAGATAATGTTAGGGCAATACTATACAGTGCTTATTTTCTGATACTATTCACTTTACATTTTTCAGGTAGCAGTTTTAGGAGAGTGGTGGCAGGTAGTGTTTTCAGAATACGGTAGGATCCTATCCTGCTTCCCTAAATGCTGAGACTGGAGGGCAGAGGATAGCAGAGAGTTGGAGGGTAAACCGACTGAAGTGCTCCACTAAGATTTGCGTTCAAAAAATTAGTGGAGTTTGGCTGTGCTAGACTGTCACAGCTCAGAAGTAAGGCTTTTAATGTCTCAGCTGATCTCCATGGGTTGTCCTTTCCCAAAGGCAGTTCAAGCCTAAGTATGCCTCTGTCCATTGTAGTCACTGAGCTTCCTTTTTCCCTCCTTCCTTGAGTGCAGTCTACCTACCACTAAACCTTTATTTGTTTCAGTGGTGCAAAATCTTCCCTAGTGTATGTGTGAAGGCTGAAAGTATAGAAAAAAACATTTTTCAAGGGCACAGCTTGTAGTTGATGTTTGTGTAACTAAATAGTGAATAGAAAAATATACACTCAGTTAAGTAAGTCTCTGAGTAGACTGATCCCTTCATAGTCATGAGGGACCTCAGGCAGAGCCCTTCTGCTTAGGGTACTGCACTAATCTGTTGTCTTGTTGCTGCTCTTGTTCTAAAACACATAGATTTTGGTGTTATGATCAACCCTTCTTGATGAGGAGGTGAGTGGCTTACAGAGCACTTAACGAGGTTATTGCCAAGTAAAAATGTACATCTCTTGATGTAACAATAGAAAAGTCCTAAGCACTCTATGAAAGACAGCTGAATTTTTACATGATTCTCCTCCTAAGACAGCACTATTAAATTCTTGGCTGAATGTCCCCAGGTCTGTGTAAATTCATAGATTGTTAGCCTGTGAATTCTGCACATGTTAAGGCTTGGCTCTGCTGTGTTTAATGAGCTTCAGGTTTTGGTGTGGCTTGTCTCTAAGCAAAGATGTATATATGAGGATTTTAGGGTAGTGGTGAAATAACTCTTTCTGTTCTTGGAGGTGTTTTTTCTTTGGTTTTAAATGTATGTGAGAATCTCAGTGTTAATGTGGACAAGTTGGAAACTGTCAGAGCTGAAGGATTTGACAACTACTCTTGTTGAACTCAAACCAGGTACACGTTACATGTATGTATAAGGTAGGTTTTTCCTAAATAAGTATTTGAATATCAACATCTGACCTACATATTTGGTCATAAACCCAAGAAAAATGCCTGAAACCTTGTTTTAGTGAAGTAAAGCCTTTATGTGTTTTTTTCCAAATTTATTTTAAAATTATCTGACATCATGCTTTTTCCTCTTTCCTCAGCAGAAAGTATACTACCAACTGTGCTTCCTCCAACAGTTTTTCTGCTATCTTCTGCAGGTCCATGTTTCACACTACTCCTCTCATGAGAAAGGTCTAAATTCTTGATAGCTGCTGGGTGTTTTTTTTGTGTGTTTCTTCTTTAGATATGTTTTTCTAAAAAAACACCAAACAGACCTGTTCTATAAACTGACCTTTCATGCTCTTCCTAAAGGATGGCTCTGATTTTTACGCCTCCAATCTTTTTTTTTTTTGTCTGGAGTTGCTGAAGTCTTAAATACCCTAGTTGTTTCCTAATGTTCAGAATCCCTCACTTCATTCAAACCTTTTAGGGCTACTTCTGAAAAGGATTTTTTGGCTAAGCAAAGCTGAGACTTAGATGCAGTGCGAGGAGAACAGTAATAATTCAATCCTTGGTGTGTGTGGGGGAATGTGGGGTTTTTTCCTTTGCTGTTAGCATCATTTGCCCCACAACTTTTAATGCGGTTATTTCCTGCTTTTGAGAAGGTGCCTTCAAGGGATTTCACGTGACAGTGGAGAAGTGAAATTTTTAACTGCTTTCTTGTAGCAGTAATATCTGCTTATTCCAAACCAATGTTTGGTGTGTAACAGTGTTTTTTACTACTATCTAACTGGTTTCTTGTTTCTTTTCAGAGATCATTCACGTTAATAATAGAAGCATGGGATTGGGATAATGATACAAAAGCTGGTGAGTATTTATGTAAAACTTGCTGTATGTGCACAGATTGGTGAGGGGGGGAAATGGTATGCTGCTGCAATTAGCTGTGCCTCCAAATCAGCCTGAATGCAAGCCTGCCATCTAAGTAAAGGGCATGTACAAATCCAAGCAGTGAATATTGGGTTAGGAACTATGAAAAAATTATTGCAAAGAAAAAGAATGGACAGTAGTGAGTGAAGGTTGTAATACATGGCCCTTAATATTTAGCTCTAAAAATTTTAAAATCATGGTAGACCTGTTTTTTTTGAAGAGGAAATGAGTCTGTGCTGTATAGTTGCACTTTGAATTCTCCTTGGTTTACCTATAACCATGTTGTGCAATACTTCTCATGTTTAGATAAACAAATAAGCATTCTTGCTCCCCATAAAGAAACCATGCTCGGTGGTTTTAATGAAAGTCTTCTAAATCATGATATGATTCCTTCTGTTTGTTTCTCCTCAAGTACTGAAAGTTACCTTGTATTTCTGGTCTGTAAATACTAATGTTCAGTATAAGAGCAGGACTATTGATCTGAAGGAAAAACAAGATGATTGTATACATACTTCAAAAACATATGAAAGTGCTGGTTGCTGTATTGCTGCTAAAGTAGGACTCCAACTTGAACCTACTCTTTGATAATTGTTCACAAACCTGTCTTAAAATAACCAATGTTTTTGGCTACAAGTGTTAGTGAACTTCAGACTTCCATTGTGGTTAATGATGGACTATTTAATCTTGCCTGGGATCAATATAGAGGAAGCTAAGTGCTTGGACACTAAGATAGCAAAGGTGTATGTCCCAAATCATCATCAGTTTGTAATTATAGGTTCCATTCTCTGCTGTTTCCCTGACCATCCTTATTAAGATTCATCAAGCACAAAAAATTGGCAAAGCTCATTTGACATTAATGCTGTGTTAGAGTTTCAGGGTCCTTCTTTTTCTTGAAGATTTAGATCAATCACACTTAACACTTTCCTGACAGACTTTCCTAACTTAGAGATTTTCCTAACATGCTTTGTCCCCAGTGATAGACAAAGTTATGATTTTGTAGTTTGCTCCTGAGTACTCACTGTGTTAGGCTCAAGCTTCTCTTGTCTTGTTGTTTAACAGCTCCTTCAACCTTTTCTGGTAGGTATGTTTTCTTTGATCTCTGGTAATTCATATTGCTGCAACCCTTCAGCTAGTCCACAGCCTTCTTGAATGGCACTTCTCAAAGCTGGACATGGTATTCAGAATGAGATCTTGTGTGCTGAGCAGACTAAGCCTGAATCTTGAATAAGGTTAGATTATCATACATAGCAGCAGATTGGAAGACTCCTCTTTGAATGCTTTGTTTAAAAAGTACTACATGAAGTTAATTCCTTTTAAATAGTTTTCAGTTTGGGAATAACTTACCTAGGGGCAGCTAATACAGAAAATATTTATGCCCTAGTTCTAGGTGACAGATCAGCCCCGGAGTTGGTGTGGATGGGGGTGAACATGGAGCCTATCCTGCAAAACCAGATCTGTATGCATTCAAGTGCTGAATTATGTTTTTTAATAAGCTATCTAATAAATAATGCTCCTCTAACTTGCTGTGTTGTCTTAGAATCTGCAGAATCCTCTTGCAAATCTGTAGCTTTCAAATCCAGGTCTTCTAAAATACACTTAAGGGGACAATCACTTTAAGTTTGTGTTGTCTTTCTTATACCTCTTAGTTTTTTTAACTTGCTCTAACAAATATTTTTATTTGCATTCATGTCATATAAGACATATATTCATATAAATGTAGTGTCTTTTGGAGACCCAGTGGGCCATCTTCTTAACAGTTTCCATGAACTACAGGAGTCTATATGAAGTGTCAGATTATAGTTTAGATCTCTTGAGAAACTGCTAATGGAAGGTGAGCTTCCCTTTAATACAGGCTACCAGGGGAGTGCTGTTTGCTGTATTGCATTTGAAGGTTAGAAGGCTGGTCATGTGAATTTAGGAAGCCTTTCTTGGCCTATGGTTTGGCAGAAGACTACCTAAATGCTTGTCTTAGTTAACTGTTTCTGTAGTCTGTTTACTGCTTCCATGATAGAGATCTGTTGCTTTGCCATGCTGCAGTTTAGACTTGCATATTAGATTTCTAAGGCGAATTCCTTAATGCTGAAGTTTTTTTTTTTCTTTTTTGGAATGGTGTTGGCAGGGAATCCTGCAGTAGCTTGTCTTGTGAATCTGTCAAGATGCAAAGACACTCCCCATGCATTTCTGCAAGGACTGCTGAACTGCCAAAGAGGGACAGATCAATAAAAAATCCTATGTATGAGAATAGGAAAAGGAATATGGCAACTCCTCCAGAGAAAAGATAAACAATATCTGTGTCCTGGAGGGGTGAAAAGAATCTGTGGAAAGCTAGACTCCCTATCATAGCCTGAACATGGAGCTGATCTCTGACTCAGGTTACATGTGTCTTCTGTTGCTACTGTAAGAAAGATTAATCAAAGTAATTACCAGAGTCTGTTTATAAACTGATGAATTAGTTCCAAAGTCAGGTTTTGCTTTCCTTTAATGACTAAGGCTGAAAGTTAAATGCAGGTGCTCTGTTCCTGCTTGGACTTTCAGGTGGGTATTTAGTTAAAAAAAAAAGGCACCAAAGAAATGAAAACCAAAACCTGTGAAGAGGGATTTCCAGTGAGCAATGTGAAGCTTTTATAATAGTTGTCATTCTTCCATCCTTCTGGTGTCATGGAGTCCTGTATTCTTTCTTGCACCCATCAGAAATAAGGCAAGGGTACTCAAAGCAGATCTGAAGTACCATCTCAACACAAGTTTGACAGGACAAATGTTTCCCCAGTACTTACCTCAAAACTACAGACTTAAGAGGGACTTCCAAATCCTGATTCCTGAACTACTACTGAACTCTCTTCCTTCTTAGTGCAGCAGTGGTGGCTTGGAGGGAAGCTTGTGGCAATATAGTACTCACCACTTGCTTTGAGGGAAGGGGGAGAGGAAACTGCCTTAGATACAAAGTCATTGTAAAGGGTCTCTTGTCTATCATCTGTCACAGCAGTTTCTGCTGCTTTCCAGGAAAACTGTTTCACTTGGCAAATTTCTAGTCATATAGCAGAGGTCTTGGCAACTAAGACATGGCATCTGCATGTGCAAAGTCACTTGCCATTTGACTACATGTTGACTGCAGGGATGCAGTGAGTGCCTTCCTCTTTCATGTTAGTGTGTAGGAGACTAAGCTGTCCTTGTGGCTTTTTGAAGTGGTTACTTGAAGGCTGAAGACAAGGTAGTTCCTGAGAAGGGCACCTCCTGTTCCTTGAAGTTCTTCTGCTGCTGTGTCTGTTTCCTTGAAAACAGCTACCAGCATCACCTTTTATATTGCCTGTAACTAGCTCGTTGGGAATGTCTGACCTCTGCTAACAGTGTGTTGATGAGCAGTGTTCTTATTTAAGCACAGTCATGCCTCCTGATTGCACAATTAGTTAAATGCTCTTCAGGTAAGGACTCCTCTTCTGAAAATCAGATGCTAATTAAAGAACCACCTTTTAGCCATCATCTCCTTCTATGCAAACATCTGTGCCACTGTCTGCATTGCTAGTGTAACTTGTAGACAACTTCTTTGTAACCAAGAAAAGCCCCATTGCTTCTGATGTGGGCATGGGGGGAGGTTAGTGTATGCTGCCTTTTTGACCAATAACCAAATTCAGTTATGCAGCTAATTGTCTTTACTGAGGGTTGAAAGTAATGTGTGTGAGTTCCTAAGGTGAATTTTATGGTAAATGAGGTGCGGAGAGCAAACTTGTGTCAAATGTGAGAGACACTATCTTCAGAACCACTTTGACATTGTGGAGAAGGAAAAGGAACCTTGACAAACATGTTCTTCCTTGCAATTACAGATCTCTTTGGAAGATACACCTTTTACTTGGGATCAGTTTTAAATTTTGACGTAAAGCACAATTCTCATACTCTGATACTGAAGAACTTGGTATTAGAAGCTAAATGACTTGGAGCTGATTTCCTGATGCCTTTTGTGGTTCAGGGTAAATTATTTGGTTTGCATATTTAGGCTGTTTAGCCCTACTTTTACTGATATAAGTTACAGGAAAAGCTCTTAAGACTCAGAATACCTTCTTCAGAGGAGTCTGTGAATATTAAATTTTTTCCAAAAAAGAAAAGTGCCATTGGCTTATTTCCCCTGTTCTTGACCCCAGGTATTAGGAGGACAGTTCTGCATATTGGTATTTGCAATAGCTGTAATACTTGTTCCAGTTTAACTGTCTGATGAATCTGCATTAGCCTGAAGATGCTTGATAAGATTTTAATTGTATAAGCCACCTTAATCTCAGGACCTGTTCTTCGGTCCATCTGATGCATTTTGAGGAAACACTTTTATAGCAGTGGCTGTTGTAGCCATTTTTAATGAGTTTGCATTGCTTATAGCTGGGAAATAGCTCTAATGCATATTTGCTATTTGTTCAAATTCTTTGACCATCCCATGATTCAGCATTTTTCCTTTATAGTTTTTCATCAAGGCTTTCAGATCAATAGTCATTAGAGAAGAATAAGATGACGAAAGGATGTTGAATCTAATCATGAGGCTTTTAATGGTGACAGATGCTACCATAGATATCCTGTTCAATCAAAAATAAAACACAGGCAGGTTTCTTGACTACTCTTAGGCTGACCACATGCTGCTGGATGACAGGAGTTCATGTATAAGAACTTGAGAGCTAAAGAACAGGGGTAGAGTTCAGTTTTGTCTATCCATGAAATGTTTTATGCAGACTAGTCCAGGCAAGCATCAATTGTAGCCTATACATGGCAGTACCACTCTTAATGTTAAAGCAGAGAGATACTGAGTCATTAATTGTAAAGCCTTTCAGTGCTTAATTAAAACAGCTCTTTTAAATTCAATGTTCCTTAATTTTAAAAGGAAATATTTTTATGGTAGAAGCAAAATCGAAAAAAAGTTAAGATAAAATATATTGCAAAGCCCACTACTTCTGTAACTTTTCTTTTAATGTTGGAGTGACTGAAAGTTGTCACTGGAGTCCTTTTACATGCTGAGGGGGAAGAAGTGCAGTTTTGGTAATAAAAGCATAGGATCTCTCTATACTGTCAATAACTTCCTAGGTGAGAAACAGTCACTCTTTTTGTTTTAATTACTAAACTGATTGGGTTAATGAGTTCTAGAAAGTAAGTAGGTGAAATGTTTGCTGAAAGTAATAGCTCAGTATTTCTTGGTACCAGTTTGGTGTGGTTTATATTAATAACCTGTAGCTCAGGTTTTATCTCTCTATCATTACAGCCTTTTTCTGTGTGCATGTTTTTGGTTCTTTATTCTGTTTTTAAAGAATCTTTATTTAAAGAAAATAGTGCCAGCTCAGAGCTTTAGCATCTATTACAGCTGTTTCATAAATGGGTGGTGAAATTCATGTATACAACTAAAGCGTCTATACCTTCTTCTGGTCAGTGCTTGGAGTTCCAGCTGCAGCTTAAAGGGTCAGTTAGAAAAACTGACAGTAGGATGTTACTAGATTTGAACTGTGAGAACACTTGAACTCTTAGCACTGGGGTTGCTTGCTGTCTACCTGTGCCCTTACCATGCTTTGCTTATTCTTAACATTTACCAAAGCAATTGTATAACTTCATTGTATTGACTATACTTGCATCTCCTGGTACAGAAGGTTCTATACCAAGAGTAAAATAGATGTTCATATAAAGGAAAGTACTTTCTGTTGGCTGTTCCATAATCTTATATCCTAGAATCCTCTTGTCCCATGTGACAGCTAGTACTTTGTGCAGGTTTGGTCTCTGTTAATGGAGCCTGGCAGACAGCAGGACTGCTGCTGTCTGTGAGGGCAAGGCAGGATGCTTATAGAGTGTATAGCAACACTGATCATGATTACCAGTAGTTCCACTGGGGATAAATAGGATACAGACTTAAGACTGGTTCCTTGACAATCCTGGGTTCACTTGTATGTTTCTTAAGATGAACAAATTGCTTCTTAAACATGTTCTGTCTTTTACTGTGGAGAGAATGATAAAATGGAAAAAAGCCAGCTGATGTACATAATGCAAGCCTACTGGAGCTTTTACTATTGCTTAGTAATTTTGCAACAAATTGAGTATGTGTTGGTTTATGTTTCAAGTTAAACTTGCACCAGAGAATTTTAATCTCTCAGCTACTGGGTTATGCAGTTTGTGCAATTTCAGTAAGAACAAAAAGGAGGCAAAAACGCGCCTCAAATCAAGATAAAGCTGCTGGTTGTCAGTGTGTGGGTGTGGTATGTTTGGCTGCCTTGAAAAATAAGCTATTTCCTATGGATTATGTTCCAGGGTTTTTTAATATTTCCTTTGGGATGCCTTTTTAAATTGGCCTTCCTGTAATGAACTTTTCAAGGCAAAGGAAAATTCAGTTATATTCAGAAAATTCAGATCTTTATCATCTTAACATTTTCTTTACTAGGTTTTCTCTTAACCTACTGAATACTTTTGATTTGAATTTATATGCTCCTCTGCACTATCAAACTGAATTGTTGAATTTTTTTAAAAGGTGAAGACTTGTTAATAGAACGAGTGGCACATGCTGGCATGATCAACCCAGAAGATCGATGGAAGACACTACAGTTTAATGGTCCTGTTGCCCATTTTGAAGTACAAATAAGAGTGAAGTGTGATGAAAATTACTACAGTGCCCTGTGCAATAAATTTTGCGGCCCTCGAGATGATTTTGTTGGTCACTACACATGTGATCAAAATGGAAACAAAGCCTGCATGGAAGGTTGGATGGGAGAAGAATGTAAACAAGGTATTGTCCGCTTCATTTCAGATTAAGCTTAATGTATATATAATAGGTATAAACTATAGCTGGTATTTCTGTGGTGTTGGTGCTGTAGCATATTAACACATACAGACTTTGTCCTATGAATGCAAATCTTTGAAAAAACATCCTCTGAGGAGTGGAGCCCAGGGCAGGATACACTGATTGTGGTGTGTGTTATGAGGGCTACACAACAAATTTGGGATTCAAAACAGTGAAACATCTTTCTGCTAATTAACTTTATTCAATGGTGGTGTTTACTTCAAAGCAAAATGATGTATTATATCTGTTTAATGTAAGATTTTATTACAGAATCAGTAAGACTGTAGTCTTTAATCCTGTAAAAACGCCCTTCTAACACTATTTTTGCAAATGAAAAGGTTTCAAGTGTGATGTATGCAAAGCTGAAAGCTTTTTAATAGCTCTTAATGTGAACAGAAATTCAAGTGTAGTCATCCTTTTTAATGTACCACTCAATCAAATCTCTTTGCGTTTTGCCTTCAGTTTCAGTGAGTAATTAGTGCTGAAATTACTTGACATCATAGTCCTCTTTCTGTTGAGGGCTTCTTGTTTTTGTTTTCTGTTCCTTTTCAGTAAAAAGCCTGTTAATGAGGGGAGACCATTTTTTAGGGCTTACTCAAGGTCATGTGTATCTTTCAAAGCTTGGGTTTTCCAGTCTAATGTTAGGTTAAAAAAAGCCAAACAACAAAATGTTTTGTTGCTGACACTCTTGCTGCAAACCTATTTGGTAGCAACTTTTTCAAGGAGTTACAACTGTTTATGAAAAATAAAGTGATGGGGTTGTGTTCTGTAAAATAGCTAGCTGGAAGCAACAACTGTTGGAGCATGGCAGAAAACAGCCTACTTTGAGCCATTTTCTTGCTCAGGCAAAGACAGAAGCCCAAGCTGAGCAGATGCAGGTTGAGGCTGTGCTAATGGATACCTAGCTGCCCACACTGATGCCTAACCCTTTTTCTATTTCCAGCTGTATGTAAACAAGGATGTAATTTGCTCCATGGGGGTTGCAGTACACCTGGGGAATGCAAGTAAGTCTGCATGCTTGAGTATCTTTTTTTTTGAGTACTGATCTTTCTAGTATTTTCTGTGTAAGTTGGAACTTCTATAAATTCTACTTTGTATGGAGGTCTTTTTTTTTTTCCCCCAGTTTAAAAACATGGATGGAAATAGATCTGGAGTAGATTTCACATGTGCAAGAACTGCATATACTTTATATTGTTTTGCAATCCTATCTTATTTTTTGCTCCTATAGGACTGGACAGATTTGTTTCATGTCATCCAAAAATATGCCTTTATCAAATGAGAACAATCTTTTTCTTTTCAAAATCGTTAGGAGCTTTGATCTTCATGTACTATTTGTTCCTCTGAAATAAAGGGAGAACTTCCTCATTGGACTATTAGGACAAGGAAATGCTCACAGTGCTGGAACACTCAATATATATATTTGATCACAAAATTTAGTAAACTCAACTTTTCCAGGAAAAAAATGGGTGGTTTTGGTAGTAATGAGGAGAGAAGAGGAGCAACACCATTGTAAACTTTCTAGTCCGAGTGAATGTTTTGGTTCCTAAATCCAAGAGAACAGTCTGAAATGTTCTCAACTGTGAAGCCCAATTAGCATCTGTAGTAGCAGGAGTTGATTGGTCCCTTGTAAAAGTTCAGGCATCCAACACAGTAGGTCAAGGGAAAATGGGTGTTATTTTTACATTGGCCATTGGGAAACGGGACAGATCTACTTGAAAGTTTGGGGTCCTGTGTAAGTCATTGAGTTTTGTGGTCAGAGCTGTATGCATCACGGTAAGAGTGGCTATATGAAGTGGTTCCTTTGTAAGGTGTATTGAATCTGCTTGCTTGGCATCATGTGAAACTGAACTGGCTGACAGAACCTCTGAGAGCTGACAAATACCACTTGTGGCAAGCTGTGATAGTTTAAGGCAATTCTGCTTCATCTTCCTGCTAGTAACCAATACAAACGTCACAGGAGGGGCAGAAATAGGAGCAGGTTGCTCAGCTTTGCTGGGGTTGAAGTCCCAGTTTGAGCTGTGGCAGCTGATGTGCAATCAAGTCCTGTCCTGCTGGAGACCCTGAAGTTTCTGTCACTGGGGTATGGCAGATAACAAAGTAATCCTAAATCATTGTACTACAGAGTGGTTTCTTACCAGCCTGAAACTGCCATCAGATGCTGCTGACATGCAGAAGATCTGATATGTAGTAGCTCTCAAATCTGATTGAAAACTGTAAATTCCAGCGTACGAAGAGCAGTGTTTCAGTGCATGTGCAATTTGACTTCTGATTAACTATAAAGCCTCCTTTAAAAATTTTTTTCAAGGCAGATATTTAACTAATGGCTTCATTTTCGTAAGAAAAAATGTTTCTGTATAGTGTTATTTGGGATCTTTTAATATCATTAATTATTTTGTGTGCGATTTCCTGTATTGTCTGTTCCTACTGCTGTTAGTGATATTTTTAGGTTACAAGTAGAGATTGTGGTTGAGAGTTGGGCCAGTATCACTTCTGCCTGAGTAAGAAGTACTCCTTCCCTTGAGCCTTTGAAGAACACTATTTTTGCCTTGAGAACCTACTCTAATGAATTTTCATTCATGTAAGGGTTTCTGGAGCCCTGTAGGTATCAAAGGAGTGCCCTAGGAGCTTGTGAATGTTTGCTTTTTGAGTGCAAGGAGCCTTTCAGTAACACTGAAAAAGCAAGGGGCTTAAGCAAATGCAGAACAGTACCCTTGCTGGGGGGATGTGAGGGGGTGGTGCAGTTCACTACTTGGGTTTCATTTCTCTGTGATACCAGCTGTATCTGGGAAAACAGAAGCTGGAGAGAAGGAAGGTTTGAAGAAGCAAACACAAAACCTTTGAATATGGGAGCTGGGTGGTTATGGTACCTACTTTTTTTAAGGTATCTGTCAATGGGTAGTCTCATACAAGCAAAGCCATTTCCTTTCAGTGTCACTGACATGGAGTAGCATCTAATGTTGTCAGTCGGGGTGTCCCCTTCCAACCTGGCCAGCTAAACAAAGCTCACCAAAATAACATCGAGTCCCTTGAAGGACTGACTAGAAATATCACTGTTTTGTGGATGGATCCTTCCATTTTAAAGTATGGAGGGAAGGAATAAGGAACTGTAATGTTTCAGGTGGATTATATGCCATTTGCTTTGTTTCTTAATGCCTGTCTGCTGAAGGGATAGATCTGAGCAGCAGGTGGAAGGAAAACAATGGCCTTTACATATGGCCACTCTATTTCCAGTATTGCAGAAGGTTCCTGGCTATCTCTTTAAATATGATTTGGTAGCTTGAGCTTGTTCATACAGATATCTTTAGCTGGTATTCTGTAATAGTTATTAGGCTACATTTCCAATGTTGCTTAACCCAAATGGATAATACCTTCTGTAGAAAAATGATGCTGAACTAAAAATAAGCAAGGCTTACAGACATGACCTTTATCTTCAGCAGTACAAAGGAAGCTATTATTTAAAAGAAACTGTTTGGTGCTATTGAATTATAATCTAGATTCCTTCTTCCTGGTTTTTGGACAGTTGCCACCGTCATTTAACAGGTGAAAACAATGTCCTTTTTTAATTCAGAAAGAAAATGAAAATGTGAGAAAAACATGGGTGTGAAATGTATGGAAATCTACTGGTGCCAGGAGCTACTTGGTTGCCAAAATCTGTAGTGGCACTTATAAATAGAAAAGTTGGAAAACAGTTTCCATCTTTTGACTTGTAGGAACATGCAAGTAACTTAAGCAATGGCTCTGAGGCTTCAGCCTAACTCATATCAAGGATCTACCTTCCATGCTTTGATGTTCTGAAGTAAATTAGAGCTGTTCTTGGATTAAATGTTACGCTAAAACCAGATCTCAAGTGACAGTGAACTGTTAACAAAGGCTATGCCATTAGCAGTAAGTGTACATCATATGTTGGGCAAGTTCATGTACACCCTGTATGGTGTTGTGAAGTTTTCCACTTCTTTTCTTGAGCTTTCATCAAAGAAATGGAAAACAAGTAGGGGATGACCTGATGTCTCAAAATGACCTGATGTGGGAAATGATTTTGTGGTATGCTTGGGTCTAGGTGACAGGTCTTTGTCATTGTGGAGGCAGTTCAGAAACATTAATGATTTACTAAATAATGAGGAAAATTACAACATTGAGTAAAACAAATGCAATGTGGCTGGATCTTTCAAAGATGGGAAATTGCAGTTGTCTTAAAGTAAAATAATTAAAAAAAAAAAAAAACAAAACCGAATGGCAAAACCAACTTATATCCATGTCTGGGCTCAAAGTGTTTGGCCACTAACATCTCTTCTATCCATTGAATTCACCAGCCCAAAGTAGTAGGAAAGATTGTCAAAGAAACAACACTGCCAAGCCATGACGATGGGTGTTTTTTTGTATGGTTTTTCTGTCATTTGAAGTACTCAGTTGAACTCCATTAAACTGTCTACAGAAGAATGAAGTTTGATCTAATGGCTTATAACTGGCTTAGGCTCAATCAACTTACACAGTTATCAGAGTGGATATAGAGAAGCCACAACTGACAGGCCCCTTCCTTGATTAAAACTGCTGACTTGAGTATGTTTGGTACTACTTGTAAACTGTCAGTAGGCTTAACAGTTTAATCTTTCACTTCCTTGAGATCCAGAGTGGTATGGGTTTGGCAGAAGTCCAGATATTCCTCATATCTGGGCTACATTGTCATATTCCTGACAGGATGATGGTACTTTCAGAAGTCATTCAAAGGCAACAGGAAAAGTAGAAAGAATGAATTTCTCTTCCAAAGCAAAACAAAGGGGTCAAATCCCTAACACTGCTCAGCTTGTGTTCAGCTTCTGGAGCTATGACAGGACCTAGGTCATACCCTGGGAAATGCAAGTCTGTCTTCACATAGCTGTGGTACAAGAATTTCTTTAGAATGTGTATACTAACTGAAATGAATTAGAAATGGGATCATTAATAGTACTTTAACGTAAATTCATGCAAGGTGAACAAAGCAAGCATACAGTTTTTAAAACGTTTTGAGTAAACTGTTTAATCAGTGTGCTTTGAATTGTCTTGCTCTAGAATTATGTTTTAAACTACATGTGGCAAAAATCTGGTCCTAAATGCTGGTGACTTTGTTTTTATTTAATCACAAACCTTGTGTTTGTCCTGTTGAAACAAACTTCTCGAACTTCTGGTCCAGTTGCATGCCTTTTGCAGTGCTGTATTCCACTTCAGTGCTGCTTGTGAGACTGATTTCTTGTGTTCAGCAGTGCCTGCAGGTGCTGCATGCCTCTCCCAAGTGGTTTTGCTCCTTTAACGTCACTAAAAGGGCTAGAACTTCCTCAACTATTATTCTGTACCTCTTTTTACAGAGATGTGGGAACAAAAGGCTGAGTTGCAAAGTGAGCTACAGCTGCCTGGAGTTCTGGGATGTAATAGTGTTCTAGAGATCCCTTGTTAAATGTTAATGGCTTGCACAGTCTTCCTATCCTTTTCAGCTGGAGGCCTACCAATGTTGCTAATCTCTTGCTTGTGTTTTCATGAGTTGGGTGGGTAACATGATTAACATCAACACTTGGGAACTCTGCCTAAACTTTTACAAGAGTCCAGCAGCACTTCTTGTTTTAAACTCATGCTTGGGTACAAGGAGATCTGGTGAGGCATCTCAAAGCTGGTTGTTACTGAAAGACTGCAGAGGACTAACGGAAGATCTTAGACTGAAATAAGAAGGAAATACAATGCCTGCTTCTAAAATTTGGGAGAAGGTAAGAGATGGGGAACTTCCATACTACCTAGATCTGGTAGAGATCTCAAAAGAACTCTGAAACAGGTACACCATTTCTAAACATCTAGAAAATACTTACAGATGAGACTTGCTAACCAGGACTTGTCAAGAGCAGGTCTAAACAATACGGTTTCCTTCCACAATTCTTCCTGAATGGAATTGAGTCCTCTCATAAGCTCTCAAACTGGGAGAAATCTCTTATAAGCTGCTCTGAATGCTAAGCTAAAGTGTTGTTTGAGCAGTGTGCCAGAT